TTAAAACAGTACCTGCTGATTGTCTCCAACTGTGATGACCATAAAATGGCACCTTTCATTCAAAAAACTTTTTACTGAACTTGTACTATGTGTCAGATAAGAGCTCTGTGGGAAAAAAAGAACTAAGCAAAGCTCCGTCCTCATAGAGCTCATGTTATAGTGGGAAGAGAGAGACAATACAGAGTATCTAATGCACATATGTAAGTTCTTGGAGATAAAACCACATAGGATAAGAATATAAAGATAATACAGGGGTGGTCATAAGACTTCTCTAAGGATGTAACATTAGAATAGTGACGTTAATGAAGTCAGAGAGTGAGCTGGATGGATAAGAGGGGGTATAGTATTTCAGACAGAACAAATGCAAAGGCCCTGGAATCTAAGGGTAGGGCTAGATGAACCTGAAGAAGAGTAAGGAAGCAATTGTAGCTAAATGGAATGAACCAAAGGAAAGTGACGTCTCTGTAGGCCAGGGAAGAACTTTTTTTCCAAGCATGATGGTAAGCTCATGGTGGAATGACGTGACCACATGGTCAACAATAGTCACATTTACTGACATAAGGAACAGAGCTTAGAGATCAGATTTAGAGGATGGAGATAAAGTATTTTGTTTTACTCATATTGACTACAAAGGCCACGTAAAATATAGAAGACTAATATCAGGGTTGTTCAGAAATGGAGACTTTGGAGTTATCAGGTGTTTGTTTTGCAGTACTGAAGATCAAACCCAGGGGTACTCTGCTAGTGAACTACATGCTCAACTTTTCTTATTTTTTTGAGACAAGGGTCTCACTGAGATGTCCAGGGTAGTTTTGAAATTGCTATCCTCCTGCCTCAGCCTCCTGAGAAGCTGGGTTCGCAACTGTGCATCACTGTGCCTGGTGGGAGTTATTGGTTTTAAGGTTGTCTTAAAACCGTGATATTCTATGAGACAGACATGGTTCCTGCACCCAGGGGGGTTGCAGGCTAAAAGAAAAGAGAACATATGCAAAACAGCAAGCGGTAATGTGGAACTATGAGTAATACGTGGGAAAGGAAATCATCCAGCTTGGTTAGAATCTAGATGTAAAGCTCATTGGTTTCCCTTTCAAAGGACACGGAAACATGGAAGACTGATCTTACAAAGTTTTTATGCCCAACAACAGCAAGGTGTTAAGGCTGGTGAATAAAGGGTAAAACCCTGGAATGATTGCTTCCTCCTTCGTATTCTTTTAGTTTATCAAGACTTGTTATTTTTCTTCATAAATCACTCCCATTCTTATTCTGCCACCTAAAGCTGGTGGTATTGCTTTAACCTGCTGATACTGCCCACTCTTATATTCTACATACCATTTTAACGTCTGAAATATTTCTATCTTATCAGTCCAATCTTATTTTTCACTACTCTGTCATCATCTTGTTCTTTTCACTAAATTGTAAAATGCACGATAGCTAGTCAATCTGGAACAACAAAAAACAACCTGAATTGTCTTCTCAAAATAGCTTGTTGTAAAGTGTTTATAGGGGAAAATTTTAATCTGGTTTAGGTGGAACAGCAAAGTTCTAAACTTCTACCTCATTCTCCAAGGTTTATCACTTTTCAAATTGGAAATTATGATATGAGCTCAGGGTCCTTCCATAAACCCAGATATACTTTGCATGGTTAAATATCACAGGCTGAGTGTTACAGATCTCCAAATATAGAGGAATCTTTCCAGGGAATGACTGTGTCAGGTCTGGGGAGACTTCTAAATCCAGTTAAACCTTTGTGTTATCCTGGGCACAAAAAAAAACTTTAGGAATTCTATGACACATTTTTTAAAAATGTCTGTTCTATTTTTGAAACCGTATAAAAATTTTGAGTGAGTGTATTTCTTAACACCTGTCCATAAGACATCAACCTAAAATAGTGATGCTCTCCCTTTCTTCCAGGTTTTTGCTGCAGAGGGATTAAAGCTTACTTCAAGTGTACAAGCTTTTTCGAAACAGGTAACACACGTCAGCCTGCCTGGTGCTGGAGGGGAATGTTATGTTTACCCACTTTAGGAGTATATTAAGATATAAAGGTATTTAAAGTATAAAAGATGGAGTTTTGTTGAAGTTGTTTTAACTTCCTAAATTACATTTCAGCTGAAAGATGATGACAAGCTTATGCTTCTCCTGGAAATAAACAAGCTAAGCCCTCTATGCCACCAGCTCCAGACAGTAACTAAAACATCTTTGCAGAATAAAGTATTTCTAAAGGTAAAAGACAATGGGTTATTCAGATTGGCATGTGAGAAACTTGCATACTTTTTTCCTTACCAGGTTAGTTCCAGCTGCTTTTCTGGGGGAAGTAAAGTGTTACTATCCACAGAAGGGAAATTTATTTTTCATGCCTTGACTGACAGAGTATTTTTTTTTTTTTTTTTTTTTTTTTTTTTTACCACCACTTAGACATGAACTTTATTCTGCCCTAAAGGAGCTGTGAACATCATGGCTGGCCCTGAGCTCATGCAGCTCAGGCCCTCGGTGCCTCTTCCAGGCTGAGGTCTGTGAGCCAGGCCAGGGCCTAGAGCAGAGAGTGGCAGCCTGCCTGGTGGTGGCCAGCACAGGGCTGGTGACTGCGTTACATAGCAACGAGGCCAGGGCTGCAGCACTGTGCTGAATGGTGGCCTTCACAGGGGGAAGGAAGGGGGCAGGCTGGGGTCCTTGGCTCCAGGACTTTGAGCCCTGGTTTCCTGGCTCCAGGACAGCTCTCATGCTCCATTTACAGGGCACCAGGGCTATTGGGCACTGGGACCTGGCTCCTGGGGCCTTGGGTGGTCCCAAGGCCTGAGGGCCCTGGGAGAGGACCCGGTTTCTGGGGAGAAGCCAGCTCATCTCTGGGCTTGACCATCTTGATGGCCTTATTGTAGGAGGGTGGCAGCTCTGGGGCAGACAGGCTATAGGCCGGCGGGGCCATGAAGTCAGGGTACAGCTCCCCGAAGGGCAGCGGCAGCCGTATGCCCAGTGGATACTGCACCAAGCTGTAGGCTGCAGGAAGCAGAGGGGTCTGTGCTGGCAGCTAGGCACCACCCCCGCAGCTGAAGCCCTCCCTGTCAGGCACTCACAGGTCACAGTGCTGTGCACAGGGCTGTCACCTGACAGAATCGTTTATTAACTGCTTTATAACTGAGTGCAGGGAACAGCCCGTACACCAAACCAAATTAGCTTTTTGGATAGATTAATTCCAAAGCATTGAGTAGCCACCCTGAAGTCCTTACGGCATCACCTGTCTAAAGCACAAACACCTCCATCTGGGCTCCCGATTACCTGGGAAATGTGCAGAGCGCAAGGAACTGCAGAATAGGGGTTTCACTACCACTATGTGCACCGTTCTGAGAAGATCTAAACAGTTTGAAGCGAAACAGGCATTTTCCTCCCCATTTTTCCTGGTGTTCCAAGAAACATGCAAGACAGCTGGGCAGTTACCCGTCCCTGTGTCATCTGGGGTTGAATTCATCTCATGTACCTGTATCTTTACCTTTGAAGATCTGAGTGTCATGATGGAGAAATCAAACAATTTAAAATCTAAATAAATGGTAGTTTGTTGAAGTGCCACTTATAGAGTATGATTTACATGCTTTCTGTTATTATAGGTTGATAAGTGTATTACAAAGACAAGATCCATGATGGCTTTATTGGTTCAACTGCTCTCACTTTGCTATAAACTGCTGAAGAAGGTGAGGTAGCTTTTCTATTTTAAACTGATTATTAAGGTAAAGATAAATAGTTACTAATCTTGTGTTTTTTTCTTCAAAGCAAAGCAGAAACTAATTGTCTTTTAACTCTTTCCAGCTTCAGATGGAAAATAGCAGATGGGTCTCAGTTACAAATAAAGACACTGTGGACAGTAAAACTTGAGAAACTTTTTGGGCCAGACCTCTGGAACATCGTGTGGCACAATTGGCATTTTAAAAAAGCAAACAATATTTTATATTTTCAGAAATTTTTTTATGAAGAAAACACTGCTTAATTTTCTGATCTTCAGAATGTGAAGCTGTCAACTAATAAATGCCATAGTAGTTGGTAGAATTCTGATTGCAGTGAGATTTTAAAATGGAACATTGCACTAATAATGTTCTTTAAAAGATAAACCAAATATCCAAACTGTCTTAAGGACAACTGAATCCAAAGAAGCTATTTTGAATGTTCTCAACTCTGGTATATTGTATCTTAACTATCTTATTTAAGCTTATCATTTAGAAAACTAATTCAGCAGAAAATATATAGTTTGAACGAATGCAGTTTTTCTTAAGCCTGTGGACTCTTCAATCCCTCTGCCCACGCGACAAGAGCTCCTCAGATCCCATTACCAATCATCCATGCTAGTACCAATGTTTTCTCACAAACATTTCGTGTACAATGGGTTGCCTGTGAGGTTCTATGTTGCTCCCCTCCTGTCTAAAGCAAGGTAATGGAATCCACTCCACAGAATCCTGAAGCAACTTCTGGAGAAGAAAAGAGCTCTTCAATAGCTGGCTAATCAGTCCTAAGTACTAGAATCCTAAGCCTTTCTTACTGGCTTGAAAAACACTTTTGAACTCTCCTCAGTATTGATGGATGGAATGGCAAATAAAGACAAAATGTTGAAACCAAGGAGCTGTTTAAATTCTGGATGATGTATTTTATAATGTGGCATTGGAATGTTCACTATAAAACAAACATCTTTAGTCTTTTAAACTGTATGGTTTAAAGCTTTTTTTGGTTTTTTGGGATGGGGTTTTGATTGAAGAATGTGGTTTACAGGTTTTCCCCTTATGATGTTTACTCTGTTCTAGAATGTCATAGTGTGTGTATTCTAATACTTTTGAGATTCATTTTGAAATCAGTCATGTCAATCAGTTGCCAAACAGTGGAAATGTTAGCTGGTCTGATGATCTCTATGTGAGTCACCAACAAAATCAGTGTACATAAAAGGTCCTTTGAAGAATGATGATACTACCAATTAGATAGTCAATGTTATATTGTCTTTGGGAAGAAAATTAGATGCACACAGCTTTGTTAATGACCTTTATAAAATACTTCTTTGAACTGTCAAATCATCAAGCATGATTTCTGAGACATCAAAATACTCTTTTAAATTATAGAATAAGGGCTGGGGATTTAGCTCAGTGGTTCCGCCACATGCCTCGCAAGTGCAAGGTCCTGAGTTTGATCCCTAGTACAAAAAAAAAAAAAAAAATTATAGAATAAGGGCTGGGGATTTAGCTCAGTGGTTCTGCTGCCTGCCTCGCAAGCAGAAGGACCCAAGTTTGATACCCGGTACCAAAAAAAAAAATTATAGAATAAAAATATTGAGAAAATGATGTGAGGTAATGTCATATGTAAAATAGATACATAATTCTTTTTTTTTTTTTTTTTGGTAAAAGGGATTAAACTCGGGTCCTTAACGCTTGTGAGGCAGGTGGTGGAACCACTGAGCTAAATCCCTGGCCCGATACATAGTTCTTTTACTATATTTACTATTGTTTTGTACGAAGTCTTCGAGAATCATTGTGCTACTTGAAGTGATCTACTGGTTTGTACTTACATTTTCAGGTCAGCACCATCATTGTGTTTAGAGTTTGATATGTATCACGTATGGTGGGTAATATTTAGGGAACAGTCATCCTAACATTTGGACTATAAGAAGTTTCTCTTGTGAACGAAAAATAATTTTTACATTTTACTTGCAAAAGTTACACACTTGCAAAAGTGCACATGCAGGTGAGGGATGATTTCAACAGCACAAAACGATAAGGGACCCAAGGAATTTATACACTAAGTAATTTCTTCTACATGAAACTTTTATGTAAAAACAAGAATGTTTAAATCTATGTATGTGTTGTTCCCTTTAAGAAAAAAAATAAGATTTAAAGTCCTTTTAGTTGAAATTCAGTGTATTTAAGTGTATAATCTTGTCACGAATTGTATTTTTCTAGTTTAAATTATGTGACCATCTTTGTTCTGTTCCAAGGCATCTGTGCCTTGGAGTGACATATTCTCCAGTAACTTCTTTGCTAGAAGTTAACTGTAACTAGAATGTATGAGACTGAGTGACTACAATGTATCTGCAGGAACCGGCTTAACCCTGCATTAGCTAAGAAAGCCTTTTGGGTTCTTTTCAAAGCCTTTTCATGTATTTCTCATTAACAAGTCAGTGTGAACAGTTTTACTCTTAGAGGGGAAGGCTGTCCTATTGATGTAAGCAGGAAAGAGGGTACACACTACATACCTGCCTCTTACCTACAACCTACAGGGAAAGAAGCTGAGGTGGAAATGACACTGGACTTTTCAACAGTGTCATGCTGAAGCAGATTGGGTAAGAAAGGCCACTTAGTTTTCTTTCCCCCTGCAGTACTAGAGTTTGAACCCAGTGTGTGCTGTGGTAAACCTCCAGCCCTTTTTATTTTAAGACAGAGTCTAGCTAAGTTGCCCACGCTGGCCTCCAACTTGTGATTCTCCTACTTCAACCTCCAAAGCAGCTGGGATTACAGGTATGCACCACTGCGCCTGGCTAAGGTGTGTTTGTTTTCAATCAGAAAAACAGCCCTTATTTGTCGACTGTTGGAAGAAAAGAACAGAGGGAATACCTGGGCAGGGTAGGTCTGGGAGTTGAAGACAAATGTAGAGTTCTTTTTTGGTACCAGAGATTGAATTCAGGTCCTTGCGCTTGTGCAGCAGGTGGTGGAACCACCGAGCTAAATCCCCAGCCCAAATGTAGACTTCTTATATAAGACAAAGGGGGAAACTGGGTTGAATGAAGGAGGAGTCCTCCCCTGCTGATGGCTGGGTGTGAAGCATGCTTTACACGTCCTGGTTCTTCTCCTTCAGTACACTCACTGATGGCTTAAGTCAGGTAAGGTAAGAACCTCAATCTTCATGAAGTACTTGCTGTGCCATTACTGCGTTTCTCCATGAGTTCTTCATACTGTTTTTGTGTCAATAAGCCTTCTGTTATGCTTTTACTTTCCTCAAATTTGGGTAAAACAACTGCAATGTAGCCTTCAGTGGATGGCTGGAAAAGAAACAGGCCAGTAAATACTATCAAATGATAAAAAAATCTGAAAAGAGGTACAGGATGGGATCATACTTTTTGCCCCTGCTTTTACCTTTTCTTGAAGAATAGATGGCTTATGGAGAATGTTTTCATTTACTTCCATCAACCGTCCTCTAACACAGCTATTTGAAAAGAATTGTTTTTAAGAAAAAAAATTATTTTTACAGGAATTTTTCCTTAGTGAATATGGGCATTTGAGGTTAAGGTACTGAATGGCGGTTAAAAAGTTACTTACCTAGATATGGTATATTCTTCCCCATCTGAACAGTAAATCTTACACAAAGGTGCAAGTTCTGTTAGAAACTGTGCCCCCTGGGTAACAAAAAGGAAGAAATAATTGATACACATTTCCATTTTCCTTTGAGAGGTGACCATCAGTATTAAAATAGGATCTATTCCTGGAACTGGTGTCTTAAAATGACTAAATACATGCAAATTGTGCATATGTTCAAATATGTACAAGTGCTTTTTACTAGGTAACACCCTAGGTTATAGGAAAAACAGCTGAGTAATAAGTAGTTTAGTTATAGACATTAATATATTCTTTCCACTGTAAATGAGAAGCTAGATATAGCTAGGTGTACAAACTGTAGGCAAACTGACCAAGCAATAATGTAAAACTCATAATTATGGTATGACAACAATATCGTACAAAATTTCCCTAAGATTCCTACTTTTATATTCTATTCCTACCTTCATAAAAGGAACTTCTTTATCTAGATCACTCACTACATTTTTGAAGAAGGGATATTTTTCTCATATAAAAACCAAAAAACACCCTTTGGGGAAAATCTGGGAAACAGCAAAGTTTTAAGTAGCAAAATAAAAAGAATTCACCCATTATCCTGTAACCTATTAGTACTACATTTTGATACATACACCTGTTTGAATATTATGGTATGGCTATGAACATTATGGTATGGTAGTGCTCCACTAGATGGGTATATTTGGGAAGGTGCTTGCAAATATCTACAACGAGGCTCATAGAGCCAAGGCAGACATGTTTTTACACACTGCCCTGTTCTTTTCCAGGAATTTTCCTGTAGCGAACCTAGGCATTTGCAGTTAAGATCCTATTCTCTGACTTCTTTATTTGCCATTCAAAACATAATGGAATGGTATTCAGATATTACTACCTTGGCTTCATTTTTCTGCATCTGGTACTTCTCAAAATACTAAATACTATTGGGAAGGAAGGAGAGGGGATTTGTCTAAGAAAGCTGGATCTCTGTTAAAATAGCATAGGTAAGCTAGGCATGGTGGTGCATGCCTGTAATCCTAGCTACTCAGGAAACTGGGGAAGGAAGATCACAAGTTGGAAGGCTAACTTGGGCAACTTAGACCCTACCTCAGAATGGGCTGGGTGTGTACCTCAGTGCTCCCTGGGTTCAAGCCCCAATACCACCAAAAAGAAAAAAAAAACCCACAATGTGTTTTGAATTCTTTTTTTCAATCACCTAGTTTGGGAGACTAAAGAACTGGCGGTTCTGAGATCCCATCAAAACTTATCTCTGCTGGACTCAGTATGTAGATCACTTCCTGTTCTTCATTAGTAAATGCACTGTTACTATTCTGGAAATTGATTTATCACAAGAGATTCATGAGCATTAACTGTTACTAAATTTAATGGTGGCGAACCTATGGGTCACCTGCTGTGTAGCTAGCCGTTACTGTTGAAAGGTCTAAAAGGTTCAGCATCACTGCTATAATTTGTGGACTTTTATCTTTTAAGAAAGGGGTATGCTTTTCTAAATTCATTTGTTTCCTAAGTGAGGAGAATCAGTAATTTTAAGGCACATAATTAGGGTCTCTTGGAACAGTAAGTATTATTAATAGAAAGTCTTAGGATGAACTCAATAAAGGACGGAAATCACCCACAGGAATTTTCCCAACCCACTGAGTTTGTCAGGACACTTAATATGTAACCAAACTGACCTTGGTGTGATACCTTCTTTTGATAACATGTCCTCTTGCCTGAAGTTGTAGAGGGTAAAAATAACATTTTGTGTAACTGACCATTGTGTGGAGGTAGGTGTGGGTAAAGTATTTATTAGAGTGGCAATGTTTTAGTTTTAGAAAAACAGTAAGGAGTAAATGCCACATATTTTCTCAGATTGATGTTACTTCTTAGGATGTTTTTTTTTGGTATCGGGGATCAAACTCAGGCCCTTGCACTTGCGAGGCAGGCAGCAGCACCACTGAGCTAAATCCCCGGCCCCTCTTTTTCTTTTTTTAATTAATATGTGAATATATATGGTTAAAAATAGTTGGTCACCTAAATTTTACAGAACTTGAGATGCCAGTTTAGTAAAACCAGAAAAAATATCTTGTCATACAGGTATTAGAGTTCTCCTTTCCTCTTCATCCTGAGTGTGGTGCAGAACCTAATATGACAGATAGTATACCTTGTGAAGCATCTCATTTTATTTTGGCCTAAGAATGTCTTTAGGGTTAAAGTACAATTAAAATTAGTACCTGAAAAAAAAAATCAGTACCCAAAACTGCTAGAGACATTATGTTGAGCATACATTACTGGTCTTAAATATAGAGGACTTTAGTAGATAATCACAGAATCACAGGTACATACCCGCTTAAATTTCCCAGAAACCTTGTTCTGAAGTCTGCTACAGTTGGTGCTGATCTGATAGGAAATACTTTTAATTGTTTTTCCACTTTTAAGCACTGGATGAGATTCTGCTAATGTGATGACACATATTCTACAAGGAGAAAAAAATTGATCCTGTATTATTTTTTTGTTGTTGTTTTTTGTGGGGTTTTTTGGTACCAGGGATCGAACTCGGGTCCTTGTGCTTGCGCAGCAGGCGGTGAAACCACTGAGCTAAATCCCCAGCCCTGATCCTGTATTATTGCTTGGTAGAATTCTTTTTTTTTTTTTTTTTTGCAGTTCCCGGGGCTCGAACTCAAGACCTTGTGAGGCATTGTGGCCCAGAATTATTCTTCCTATAACACAATATTCCTATTGGTACAAGAATACCTGAGCTGACATTTGTTTTGTCAAACTATCATCTCTCTTCTTTTTCCTTTGAAGCCTAACTGTAGCACAGGGAATATAATAAAATGGGACTGAATTTCCTTCCCAGGAAAAGAAAGAGTACCAGAGGTCTTTAGGTAGCACCGGAGTAGAAGAGATGAAAGTAAAGCATGCCAGTGTGTGTAGGATACTACATATGTTTATCATCTACTGTAGCCTCTCCAGGGGCTCCGGCAGTTCAGTGGTTAGGTACAGACTGGCAGCAGTTGACTGAGAATGTAGTCCTGCATCTGGATGGTTGGATAATCAAGTTTACTTGTTCAGAGTAGATAGGCATTGGACGACTCATTTCTGCCAAGTAAACTCCTCAAAACCATTTCAACAGAATGGTAGATAATTTAATGAATGTTCATTTAATGAAATTTTGTTTAATATGAGACCATAGAGACTAAATACTAGAAAAAAACCTGGTAATTTGAAATTTCTAATTTGCTTACCGGTTAGAGTGTTGTAGTATACAGTGGTCCTCACAAGGTTTTCCTTTGAGATCTAGAACAATAAATGAGTCTGTTGGTTTTTGAATCAATATTTACCACAACTATGTGGTACTTTTTTTGATTCAGAGAATTACGAAGATCAAGCTCATCCTGAGATCACTGGTATCCCTTCATTACTTGAAAAACTAAAGGCTTATTATGAAATATATAAACAGATCTGACTGAATTATTTATTCAACATTAAGGTGACTGAGTCCTTGCTCCATCTTGCTTTACTCTTACTGTAAAATGAGAGTTTATTTATATCAGAAAAATGATTAGTACTGCATTTTTTACAATATAACATTTTTTGGCGGTTTCCAGGACTGTCCTGATGTTAGCATGCAAAAAACCATTCTGGAAAACCTCTCAGTCCTGGGTGAACCAGGATGGTTGGTTACCCTCAGTGTGCTACAATATTAAAAAATAAATAGTACAACCATTATCCCTGAATGAAAGGGAGAAAGTAGGGGTTAGGGAATCTCCAATGATGAGCCTACCGTTGCTATTTTTGATAGACAAAACAGCACAAGAAGAATGCCTACCTCTAAATGGCAAATGCACAATGCCGGCGGGTTTTCCTTTGAGTAAAATTAAATTCTACTTTCTCGTATCTCTACCTGAAAGGTAACCTCTCCACTGTTTGTATCCGATATTTTAAGTGGCTAGTCCCTATAGGATTTAGCTCCTCAAGTCCCTCCACGCGCTCAAGGATGGTTACAGGCGCGCGCGTGCGTGCGTGCGTGTGGTCTCGTTTTCCCCGCAAGCAATGTACAATGGAGCTCACACAGCACTCCCCAACTCCAGAAGGCGCCCTGCTGTGTTTCCAGCTTCTAAGTCTTTGCAAATAGCATTCTTCTCGACTAGAGAGAACGAGCAAACTTCCTTCTGACGTGAGGAAAAAGCGCGGAGACTAGCACGCGTGGCTTTTGATATCTTCTAGTCCTGGAGCATCAAGCCAATGCGGCCACTCAGAGCGCTATCATTCCGCACTTACCAGCTTTGTACCAGCGCGTGAAGTAACGATCCACTAGCGAAGGCACCGCTGGCTCCGCGGGCACGGGCTCGGTAGCCATGGAGACCTGCCAAGCAGCCCCGGTGCCCTCCGCGACCCGAGCGCTTCCGCTCTGCCCTGCTTGCTGGGAGAATACCCTTCCGGCGCGCGGCTGGCGTCGTACGCACGCGCACTGCTCCCTGGCTCAGGCTCCGCCCACCGCCACTAATTACTATGCTTTGGGGTTCCACGGCAAATTGTAAAGGGTCGAATACAATAGGGTGAAGGAAAGACGGAGGGACAAGAGAACGCAATCAGCGCAGTCCCTCTACCTCCACATTGCAAGGGCTACAGAAAAGGCCACTGCGACTGTTCCGGGAGCCGTACCCTGCCCGCCCACGCCCTGCGCTGCGTGACGTCACGGCCGTGCCGCCTCGCTCCTGCGCCTCTGTCGCGCCGTTCCCCTCCGTGGCGCTTGTGTGTGTCCCCGCGTGTCCAGGGCCTCTGTGCCAGGAATCCCGTGAGTCCTGTGAGCGCTCTGGAGCTTTGGACAGAGAGGCGAGTGCTCAGTCTCGGGCGGGCTGCCTGAGGCCGGCTGTGGGTGGCGGGAAGGCGAGGGCGAACGCGTTCGGGCGACCCACCCGGAGTTGGGGCATGGGACCGGGCCCAGTCCGCGCAGAGGGGTCTCGGTGCACGGGATTCCGAGGCTCCTCTGCCTGCTGCCGGCCAGAGTATACTGCTGGTGTGGAGCACCTTTTCCCTCGAGACTGAAGTGCTTTCTGCAGATTTGTCACCAGCTCTACCCGTGACTATCGGGGTACTGTGGGACGCTGCATCCCCCCGGATGACGTGCTGCTCCTCCAGCTGCACTTAACCCAGCCTCCGCATTCCTTGCAGGGGGTAGATAATACCCCTGAAGGTGAATTAATTAATTCTCGGAATCCAATGCAAGATTCCGCTGTATATTGATAGCCACGGAAGTATTCGAGGACAGTTTTTAGCTTAGGGACAAAGTTTTGGAAAATTCCAGGTCCCAAAATAGGACGAACTGTCTTTGGTGGAAGAAAAGCAAGTTCTTTGTATTTTAGGTTGCATTTGATGTACTTGTGAGAAAAACTTGTGGTAATGTAGGGAGATTGACAATGTGGATTTAGGGTTCAGTTTGGACTCGGTTTAGTCGGGTAGACATTCTATCTAATCACCATATTAGTGATCTGCTTGGTACTTGTCATAGACATGATGATTAACCTAGAGATGGATTGATCAAGAGCAAGGGAAGAAAATGGAGGAGGTGCCAGAAAATTAGGAGATGATCCAGACTTGACCAGTGATGTGGAAGATTTTTAGCACATTTAAGGGCTGAGATAAGATGAATCAGAAGAAGCAGGAGAGTTGGAGATTGCAGATGTCAAAGGAAGAGTATTAACAGGCCGAGGTCCAGGGGGAGTTTGGAGAATGTTTTCCTATTGAAAGGAATGGGGACATCTTTCTCTGAGCATTTCAGGCAGTAAAGCTGATTCGGTATGAAAATTGAGAGAAGTTAGTTTTCAGACTAAAGCTTTTAGGGTACAAGAGAAATTAATGAGCTCACCTTGGCTGGTTAATGAACTTAGAAAACTCAGTTATTTGAGAATTCAAGTTGTTTTCTGTGTTTGTCAGTCAGGGTCCTGTCAGAAAAGTAGAAACCACATAGTACTTCAACAGGATTTAATATGAAGAACTGGTTATTTAACTGTTGGAAGAACAAAAAGTGAAAGGAGCATTAAAATAATAACTGAAACAAGCAGCTGCAAAGTGTAGCTAGGGTTGGGGTGCAAAACAAGGAAAGATGTTGGGATTATCAGAGCCTCAACCGTGGAGGAAAGGCACTGTACATCTGGGACTCAGACTTTAAGGGTTGGCACTCAGGAATTGAGAAGATAAGCTAGATTTTAAGTGTTTGGAGTGGGTCCTGTTTGAATGATGGTGCTGCCACTGGGAATTGATTGGGGTGATGTGAGGGTGCTCATGGAAGCACTAGAGAGCAAAAATGAGGGCCTTTGTAAAGGCTCATTGGTGGGTGGTAGTGACAGGAACAGCAGGATAATGGAAAGGAGTGAGGTCTCTTTTTACCTTTACCCTTCTACAGACTTATTTTGGGGTCTACAGATCCCAGGGCTGCACAGGTTGTTGGTGAATAGAATTCATATTCACAGGGAGGGAAATGGAGGTTGATTAGGCTTATCTGATCAGCGCAACAGTGACAGCATATGCTGTGGTTTGAATGTGTCCCCCAAAGTTTATATGTTGAAAACTTAATCCCCAGTGCAACAGTGTTGAAACATGGGACTTTTAAGAATCGACAGCATGATTATTACCTGTGTGAAAAACCAGTAGGAAACTTAAAGACAGCTGACCCCGTTGGTCCTCATTTTTTGCTACTCTGACTTGTTTACTCCCCTTGCCATACGTTCTACCATTTCAAATCTGTCTTTTAGTTATGTTGGATGAAAGACATGTAATTTTTATATATTTGAAAAACTGAAGCCATATATGTTGAATTAGATGTAAATTAGAAACCTGCATGGTATAATTTGGTTCAAATTTTCAGAAGTTCTTGAATATGATGTCACCAAAACTTAGTAAAATTATTGTTTACCTTGATTCTCTTACTGTCACCTTATATGATCTTGCCTTCCTCTTGTTTTGTTTATTTTTGAGGCAGAGTCTTGCTGTGTAGTCCAGGCTAGCTTTGAACTCAACAGTGCCTGCCTCAACCTCCAAATTACTGGGATTACAAGCCTAACCACCACATGCCCAGCCTCTTGCCTTCCTCGTAACCCATATTATGTTGCATCATTACTATTATACTTGACATTATTATCTGTGTACTGTAGGGATTATTGACTCATCTTTGTTCTCTGCTAAGATGAGAGAATTTATCCTGTAATAGAGTGACAATAAGGCCATTGTGGCCTGTGTAATTGCCACCCCAAAATAAGTTAGGGACTTCCATCATACCTAAAGGGATCAGAATATAAATATGTAGCACATTAGTATGTTTTTCCTACTTAGATAATGTTCTGCATTAAAAAACAAGTCTTGATTTTGTGAGACTGAGGTATATGTCCTATTTGCTATTCTTTTCTCACCTTTTCTATTGTATAAGAGCCTGGCCAGGAAAACAAAGTAGTTATGTCACATCATCAGTCTTCTCAGAATATTGGACATCATTTTGAAGCAAACTATTTCACAATATCTTTTCCTTTTGAGAACAGTGAATGCTTTTATTTCTATTTTTTATTTCAGTTTTATTTTATAAATGTACTGTAGAAAGCTAGTTTCTCAGTAAATGTACTTGGTAGATTCTGAAGTCATTTGATTCCAGACTTCTATCAACTGTCAATGTATATATATATGGATATTTTTATATAGTTCAAATTAATGGGGGTAGTATCTTTTGTTTTTCTTGTGATTTTATATATCTGTCAATTTATAAATATATCCTAACGTCCAAAAAAAATGATTTCTATTCATTTTGTTCTTTTCAACTTTCCTGAGGAATAACTAATAGTAAATCTCTTTTTGCACAAAAACCTCTGCAGTTGAGAATCTTGCCTCTTACATGGTGAGACCATAACATACATTTCAGAACTCCCAGTTTATAATCATAGCTACATATCAGGTTGCTGTCAAACATTTGGATATGCTTATGTATTCAGATAAGGAGGTTTTTTTCTTGCTTATTCTAGTTACTGTTTTTCTACCCCATGAATTATTTTGTATTATATGAGGATGGTCATTCATCACTATTAAGTTGTCCTTTCTCTTTTAGGCATTAATGGTTCATCGAGGGACATTTGTACCTTTCTCTCAGAAATTGCTTCATTATGCGAAATCTAAAGTTGCTTCAGACTCTGGAGTTCAAGGATATTCAAGCTCCTGGGAAACCTCAGTACTTCTCGCTCCGAACTGAACAGAATACAGTGCTCATAGGTTCAGAATGTGGACTGATAGAAGTAGATCCTATCACAAGAGAAGTAAGTTATTGATGGGGATGCTGGCCTTTGGCATGACCCTTGACTTGCTTTCCTCCAAATTTCCTTCTCCCAGGAAGTCTTCCTTTATGTCTTAATGAATTTGTATTTTTCTAAACTTTGTATTTATAAGCTTTATAGATGGCTTACTATATAAGCCTAACTAGTAACCTGCCTTCAGCTCTGCTATTCTAAGTTGACACAGCTCTGAATATATGTAGATGTTTTATTTTGTTGTTTTGAGACAGATTCTTGCTATGTAGGCCACACTGGCCTTGAACTCACTATATAGCCCAGCCTTGTGTTGAACTCATGGCAATACTCTTTCCTTAGCCTTCTGAGTGCTGGGATCACAGGTGTGCACCACCACACCCGGCTGTAACCTTATGTTGGTGATCTATCTTTTACCCTTTTTACAATGTAGTACTATTTATAATAGTGGCTCTCAACTAGGAATGCACATTAAAATGGAGCTTTTAAATTTTCATTTTATTTTCTGTGGTGCTGGGTGTTGAACTCAAGGCCTTGTGTGTGTTACACTCTACAGCTGAGCTATGCCCCCAAACCCCATGGAGCATTTTAAAATTATGTTTGGGTCCCTGACCCATACTACCTAAATAACCAATCCTTAGTCATGATCTGATCGTACATATTTCCAAAAGTTCTCTGAGTTGATTTTGATATATTCCCTTGATTATATTTTGCTCTTAAGTATTTTATATGATTAGATTTTATTGTCTTTTCCCTGTATTATAGAAATCTTTGAAAATGACAGTTATGAGGCTGAGGGTGTAGTTCAGCTGTAGAATGTGTGCTCAGCATGCTAGAGTTCCTGAGTTTGATCCCTAGTACCACAAAACAAAACCAGTTATTAGCTTTATGACTTATTAGACATTTTTTAAGAGGCCATACTTCTTATAAATTTTGTTTGTTTTGTGTTTGGCAAAAAGTCACATTACTTGTTTTTTTGTTTTGCTTTTTTTTTTTCTTGAGACAGGATCTCGCTTTGTAGCTCAGGCTGCCCTCCAACTCATGGCGATCCTCCTACCTCAGCGTCCCAGTGCTGGGATTACAGGTGTGCACCACCATGCCTGGTACTTGTTTTTGTTAAAGATGTGAGAGTTGTAATATTTTTCAAATGAAGTTTGGGGGATCCATGAAGTTGTAGAAAGTAATGGCAGGAATCAGATGAAGTGACTGATCACTAATGAAGTACAGTACTGGTGAGATGTGTAAGAAGTTATAAAGAGCTCTGATGGGCTATTTGGGTGAAACCTAGTGCAGTGAACTGCAGGATTTTTGTCCTTGAGTCACGGAAGACAGAAGAGTTGAAAAGTTGTCTGAACAAGCATGTGAGTCATTGAAGAGGCAGGACTATGACATGGCCTTCAAGTGCTGCACAGAGGCCCTCCTTTCTCTCAGCCAGTACTCCATGGCTAACTTCACAGGGCTGTGTCCACTGGAGATAGAACACCTCAAAATTGAGAATCTTCTTTACAGAATCGCCTCATTTTTTCAACTGAAAAACTGGGCAAGCTGATGAAGATTGTAGGCATGTGCTGGAAGAAGGACTGGCCAAGGGTGAGGGTGCCTTTTGGGCCAGGCTTTGCTGCATGCATCTGAAAGGAAAGCTCCAATCTGTATCCACCATCCTTGCCAAGGCTCTGACAGAAGAGTCCCTGAATGGGGTGGTAACAAAAGATTTGACAACACTAAAAACACTTCTCCCAAAAACAGAGACAGCAACTAGTAAAGTCCTCTCTGGATATCATGTGGAAGCCTTAGACGAGAGGTCTTGTAAACTGGTTGGCATTTCCTCCCACCACCTAGAGAAATCACAAGCAGTGAGGAACATACATTGTGTAAGATTTTTAGAGCAAGGAATCTATAAGTATGGTGCCCAGTGTACTTCAGCACATTCCTAGGAAGAGCTAGCAGAATGGCAAAAAAGATACACTTCACAGTTGATAAAATTGAAACAGCAAACTGAGAATAAACAGTTCTTTGGCAGTTACGTGGAAACCTTGATAGAAAAATGGATGAATTCATTATCTCCTGAGAAAGTGCGTAGTGAATATATAAGAAGTAAAGGTAGAGCATAATCCTGACTTGTATGTTACTGTCAACCAAAAAATCTCATCAGGCATGGACTTTTGCTCTCATTTGTAAGCCTGAAAGAATGCTGTATTGTATAGCATAGATTTATGATTCTCATCATCCTCATTTTAGCATCATTGTAATATCTGCCCGATATAGTACTACCCTGGTATTACAAGAAGTCCCAGAAAACTGTCAAGAATGGATAGGAGGAAAGATGGCCCAAAGTGGATTAGATCATTACGTGTATAGCACTTAAACAGAAATATTTGGAACTTTTTGCCAAACTATAATTTTTTACTTTTGATTGGAACCAATAGTCATGCAAAAACTAATGATTGATGCAGCTTCTACAGAAGAGCTTGAATATCTGAGGCACGCAAAGCAACAGCTAGGAACCACAGTTAACTGGTGAGATTCTCTTTTTAAAACTATTGTAGATTTTGAACCCAGTGAAACTACTGATTTGGAGAAGAGCGTTCTTATCAGATAACAAATTCCTGTCTCTGTTGACCAGCTATTTACCCAATTCGTTTCAGACAAATCATTGACCAAGACCAACTATCAGTCAAGGTTGCACATACAAGGTGATAGCCCAGTATAAAGAAGTTAGCAACTTCAATCTAAATGTACAGTTGCAGATTCTAGCAAGCTTTATGCTCACTGGAGTTTCTGGAGGTGCAAAGTATGCCCAGAACTGACAACTTTTTGATCATTTTAAGCTTACTAAGACACTTTCTGAAGATACTTTGGCTGGACGACTGGTGATAACCAAAGTCAATGCTATTTATTACCAGTTCCTTTAGAGAAATTAGTACAGACCCAGGGAACCAAAGAGAATGTTTACGAAGCTACTATTGAAGAAAAAACAAAAGAATATATATATTTTTATAGATATCCAGGGAATGCTGTGAAGAACTTAATCTTCGGCCTGACTGTGACACACAGGTTGAACTTCAGTTTCAGTTAGATCGATTACCCCTCTGTGAAATGCATTATGCCTTAGACAGGATCAAGGACAATAGTGTATTGTTTCCAAACATCAGTATGACTCCCTCTATACCTTGGAGTCCCAACAGTGGGATAAACAGATGGATCCTTGACTAAATGCAAAACAGAAAAGCTGTTCTGGCCATTACCACTCCACTTTCCATCCACCTGTCCTTATCATTGGACCATATGGGACAGGCAGAACGTTTACACTAAAGTCATCAAGCATCTACTGTAGCAGCAGTAGACTAGGATTCTCGTTTGCACCCATTCTGATAGTGCTGCTGATTTCTACATAAAGGATTGTTTACATACATGTGTAAAAGCAGGCAGTCCCCAGGCAAGACCTCTCAGAGTATATTTCCAAAGTCGCTGGGTGCCTACTGTCCACCCAGTTGTCCATCAATACTGCTTGATCTCAAGTGCACATTCCACCTTTCAGGTGCCACAGAAGATTTTTTAAACATTGAATGGTGGTAGTTACTTTGAATACTTCCTAGTACCTCTGTCAGTTGGATCATAAACCTGTTTTGTTTTGTTTTTTAATGTACATTCTATTAGATGAAGCTGCCAAGGCCATGGAGTATGAAACTATTATGTTTCTAGCATTAGCAACTAAATGTGTTTTCGTTTTGGCTGGTGATCACATGCAGTTTAGTCTGTTTGTTTAACAGTGAATTTGCCAGGGAGAGAAACCTTCACGTTTAGTTACTTGATAGACTTTATGAAGATTATCCTGCCGAATTTCCATGTAGGATACTTCTATATGAGAATTACCACTCCTATGAAACTATCATCAGTTATACTTCTGAGCTTTTCTATTGGGAAACTGATGGGCAGTGGAAAACAATCAAATGAAAGTTTGGTTTTTAATGTAGAAAAAAACATTTGAAGGCTTTTATGTTATAAAAGAAGCATTAAAAAGTATGTTATTTTTGGAAATATGATTGCTCTTAAAGTAGAGTAGGTTAACTTGCTTATGTGTTTGCTTTGGTTAAAGGTGAAAAATGAAATTTCTTTAGTGGCAGAAAGCTTTCTTCCAGAGGATGGAAGTGGCTGCATTGTTGGTATTCAAGACTTGTTAGATCAAGAGTCTGTGTGTGTGGCCACAGCCTCTGGAGATGTCATACTCTGCAATCTCAGCACACACCAGGTAAGTAGATGAGTCCGGTGAGGATAAAGTCTTAATCATTCTCAACCATGTTACTTGTTTTGTGCTGAAGTTTTCAAATCTATAGCCATAACATTTAAGCTTTATAAATTATAATCTATATTATATATTTCTTCATAAAAAATTTTGGCATGGCTGTAAGTGTATTTCCGGATTTTTTAAAAACCTCAGTTTTGTCTATTGTACCTGTTAATCAGAGCAATTGGGAGATTCCAAATTAGAACTTAGGGCCGGGGATTTAGCTCAGTCGTTTTGCCACCTGCTGTGCAAGCTCAAGGACCCGAGTTTGATCCCCCATACCAAAAAAAAACCAAATTAGAACTTAAAAAATAAGTAAAAACTGTCCATTCTTATGTAGTATATGTTACCTGGTATCTACAGGTAATAATCTTTATTTCTGGGTTGTAATCTTTTATTTCTCAATTTAGAATGTCTTTGAAATATTTATATGGCTTATGTTTTCTGTTAGGAATGCTGATTAGCTAACTGTTTAGATTCCTAAACTAAGTAAGCATAAAAATAATGCACTATCTTTCCAAGGATATTTTAAGACAGTTAACAGATGGGCCTTGAACTCTCATACTCTAAATGTGGCACCTTCACTTTTAATCTTTATTCTATTTAGTGCATTAATAAACCTTAGTTATTTATTGGTGAGAAGTATCAGAAGGTTTCATGTATAAGTTTTCTAATACTTAAGAGATATTTACTTTCAAAACATTTTGTAGAACTTTTTTTCCTGGTTACTGAACTCATCCAGTTCACTTATCTCCACTTAATGGTGGTGATCCTGCCCTTTTGTGGCTTTTCAGTTGTCTGCAAGACAGTTCACATTCCTTCTGTGCTTTATAAGACCTTTAACTATCTATTCCCCAGATTCTCTTTCAGCTTCATCCCTCCCTCGTTCCTATGTACATGTATACCTTAGGGGCTAGTTGCACGCAGCTGATTTTTAACACTCTTTTTATGCTTTTGTGCCTCAACACTGTTTTTCCTCTTGATCTTCTTTCCTGGCTCTGTTGTCGCTTCTCAAGACATCTTCACAGAAAAACTTTCTTGGACTCTCCAAGCTACTTGTCATTCCCTGCTGAGACCCACTGTACTTTCTGAAGACTTCAGTTACAACCCTAATCCTGCTGTAGACTCATGGTTTTATCTCCCTCATGAGACAGTGCTGGGAAGAATGGGGTATCCATTCTAAGCCACGTGTCTAATGTCCTACTTTCTTGATCCCTGTTACTGAAGATGTGTTTGTTGGATAAATTGTTTTGAGTGAGGCCATAGTAAATCTTTACTGAGATACTGTCCTGAACTTCCCTTTTGAATTTTCTTGGTGACAGCTGGAATGTGTTGGGAGTGTGGCCACTGGCATCTCTGTCATGAGCTGGAGTCCTGACCAAGAGCTGGTGCTTCTTGCCACAGGTAAGCTTGTCACTAGTGCCTATCTGGCTTTTATAAAACTTTACTCTTAATGTCTTACAGGGTGCTAAAGCTTCAAAAGATTTCCTTGAACAGTGATACTGGCATTGTAATGCAGAATATGCTTTTTCTGATTTAATTATTACCTCTGTATATAAAGTTGTTTGGTATAACTTTTCCAGTTTTGGAGAATGGAAAACAAGTCATAAAACTTAAGGAGGCTGCTAAGCCCACAATTGCAGTTTTAAAAATGTTAGTGTATTTTTTTTTCCGACACATTACTGTTTTTTAATGTAATGATAATTGCATTACATCAAGATTTCATACATGGTAAAATATGGACCTTATAATGATCAAAAGTTTCCAAATGTATGTACTTGCTACA